CACATATATATATATATATATATATATATATATATATATATATACATTTAAAAAAAGATGTCAGTTTTTACTCCTAGACTGAAAGTAGATTAAGTAGAAAGTAGATTTAAAAAAAGAGATATTCTTTAATACTTTTTAGCTAAAAATTAATAAACTCAAATATTTCTCCTCAAATTCTTACAAAACCAAATCATTGAAGCTAAAATCTAAAGAATTTCAGCAGAAGCTTCAAAGACAAAGTTCATATTTAAATGTAACAATTACAAACTTTATTAAGTCTTAAGAGCAACAAGCAAGTAATACAATTCCAATTAGAAATCAGTCTAACACAGTACATCACACTGTTTAAGTCACAAAGACTCATCAGAACAAGCCTGACAATTCAGTAAGATTCAGACTAAAATGGTGAAGGACTGGACAATCCTTTTCTGAAGTTCATGTTTTCTGCGAGCTAGGCCTAATATGTCTGCATAATCCGGCTAACAGCTGATCTTTAATCACAAAAAGCACAAAGCCCTTTCCCATCACATTTAAGTGTGCTGTAAATGAAGCTGAATAGAATGAGCTCATTTAAAGAATCTTTCTATGGAATGAAGTCACAGTTCAGCCTGATTATAATACTGCAGTGCATTGAGTCATACCGTCTGGATCCTTATTGGATATAATGAAAACACATCTGACGGCATTATACTGACACTATAAAATAATATTAATATACTGAATGCACCTTCAGAAGGCCACAAGCATGAATGATAAAGTTGATGCTTAACTAGTCTGCCTCAGTGTAATTTTCAATGCCTCCAATAGAGTGCAATATTGAGTTTTCTATGCTCATGATAGTTGATTGAAATAAATGGATGAAGAGCGTAATTAACTTGTTTTGACTGCTGCCATCATCCATCGTAATCCCCAGATAATCCAAACCTAATCCATTGCCTAATCTGAAACCCTGATTGCCATGGAAACGACACAATGCCGAGGACCCCAGCAGTTATGGGCAGATTTACACTCATATGAAGTGCCTGTTGTGTTTTGCTCATGATGTCACTTAGTTATCAGGCAGCATGATAAATGCAGAGCACACACATGACAAAGTGAATAATCAGACTAATTTATAATCGTTCAGAGTTCAGAGTTGGCAAGAGAAACTTGAATTACTAACCTTTGTCTCGTACAAGAACTTATCATTGATAAACAGGAAATGAGCAGGAGGGGGATGTCAGTATTCTGTTTTATGAAATACATCACTATATTACGCTCTTAACTGCCAGTGTAAAATTGATCTGAGTGGTCAAACAGTCTTTAGACTGAACAATTGAGCTAACTGCACTGATATGCTCAAGCTGAAACAACGTTAAATCTTACTACTTAAGTCCAGCATGCTATATACACTGTACTTATTTTTTCTTTAAATATTAAGTGAAACAGTAGGATTTATTTGATGATGAATATTAACCCTCTGATGCATGATGTCAAAAAAAGTGGATAGATCCTTTTTAACATTCATGGTGTGATTGTACTTCCAAATCACCATGCATGATGGCCTTTGACCCTTTATTATAATTATGTGTCTGTCCTCGTTACATTGCTTTACACCTTAAATACATGGTGTCAGATATGCAACTCACTCATATTTTGTATTAAATATAAAATAAATTAATAAATGAGTAAATGAATAAAATACAATTCATAAATTAATTTAAAAATAAACTTTAATCAAAACAAATATTAAGCATTTGGATAAACCTTATCTCCATTTGTCATTTAATAATGAATGCATCAGATGGTTAAATAGTAGCATCCTACATTGTCACATGACTTTGCATGTGTGGCATCCAATTATCATCTTGAAAATAGATAAGGCTATTTTTCATTCAATTTTCTGTTAAAATGTAAAACTTGGAAATCAGATCAAATAATGAGTAAATAAAAGGCATGCTAAACTGATTGTAATTACTTCTGGATCATTCAACACACTAGATGGAAGGTCAACCGAATGCATTACATTGTGGGATACAAGGTTATTATAGATAATTACAACTTAAATAGAAAATAAAATAATAAGAAAATGCGTTACTTGAAATAAAACAGACATCAACTGAAATTAAACATTTTAAATCGATTTACATTTAAAAAAAAATCTTATTTAGTTGCCTATTCTAATGCATATTTCTTATACTTTTTTTCAATTTATGACTATTGTGCATGAAATGTGCTATATAAATCATGCACATATTAGCAAATGCTACAAGTCATTCAGGTGGAGGGTGGGGTTTTGGAGAGATGCTATGTTTGCTGGAAATTAGCAAAATGGATGAAAT